CCTACTGTAACCCCTGCCCTGAGCATCTGATTTCTTAGGGATCTTATACATGTGTGGCATATACTCTTGAGACACATATACATTTGTCTCAATGTTGTTAAAAAAATTTTTTTTCAAAAATGTTTTACAGTCCCGCATGGGGTACATAGCTCACAATGCGGTGCTGACACAGTGCCAGAGCCCAGGAGGCAGAAGTAAGAACACTGAGCACTTGAGGCCCGCATGAGCTACATAACCCTGTGTCAAACACCCAAGCATCAAACTGAACAAAACCAGAGATGAAGTCTCACATGTAACATGCAGTGCACAGGTAGAACTTACTTAGACCAAAGAAGCACGGGGTTGAAGGAAGCAATTAGTAACTTAAATTTCCTTTTTTTTTTTTTTTTTTTTTTTTTGAGGAAAACAGATATTTACTATTGAATGGTACAGTGTTTGGAGTTTAATTACAAAGAGCTATTAATCCTCCCAAACAGATGACTAAATCACTCAAAAGTAAATTCCTTTGCAATGTGGAGTATAAAATCTCCATAAGCTAAGCATTCCTTGGAGAACAGGGAAAGACAAGAGCCCAGCTCTCTCTCTCTCTCTCTCTCTCTCTCTCTCTCTCTCTCTCCCTCTCTCTCCTCTCTCTCTCTCCCCACTCTGTGTGTGTGTGTGTGTGTGTGTGTGTGCGCGCGCGCATGTGCCCACACGTGTGTGCAAGCGTGAGTGTACATGTGTGCATGGTGGCCAGTGGTCTTTATTGGGTGCCAGAGTGTAATCCTCTTCCTCCTCCTCCTCCCAGGCAACTGTTTTGCTCTGGCTTCTGTTGACCTCTGACTCTCAGAATCTTTCTGTCCCCTCTGCTGAGATACATGGCAAGCATCTTGTGCCATGACCAACAAGTAAATGACTAAATTGATTTTCTTTTTGAGGTGCTATGGGAGGAACCCAGGACTTATGCCTGCTAGGGAAATATTCTACCATTGAGTGAGACTCACAGGCAAGAATGGGTTTTGCAGAGTTGTTTCATACTTGATTTTTAGGGCTGGCAATGCAACTGGTGGAGTGCTTGCTTCACATGCCTGACTACTACAAAAGAAAATTCATTTTAGCTTTTTGCTTTGGGTAAACTGATCACACCAATCAAAGGTGCAGGGTACTGTGGGGTACTCTCATCTTAAACTCGAGAGAAATTCAAATCCTATAATGTTGTTACGGTAAACTGGGTCATGGATAATCAGGGTCATTGGCAGATAGTACTAGAATCCAACCTTGGAATATTCTGCGCACTATACTTATTGCCTCTGCAGATGACCTGCCCAATTGATTTGTTTCTTAATGTGCTTAAACCTTCTCTCTATACAATGCCCTGTTTCTTGTGGAAGGTCCTTTGGCTCCTGAGTTTGTGGCATCCTCTTGTCTGACTGAGAGAGAAAGGAAGCTGGCCCTTGGTAACCTATTGAAGGCTGAGTCTTCTTCTGTCTTGTCAGAGAAGTCCTATGCCAAGTGTTCAGGGCCTCTGTCTAAGAAGCCTGAGTGATAAATATTGGCTTACTCATTGACTGTATGCATAGTGTACTCACTCTCTTCAGTGCACACAATTTTTTCTGGAGGCTCTTGTAAAGACAAGATCATGGCAGTTTGGGCTTCCTCATGGAAAGCAGTAGGTTTTCCACAACACTTAGCATGTAACAGACCCCACAATAACCAGCTGTGGAGCCACAAACCTATAATCCCAGCGATGGAAGCTGAAGTTGTGAGTTCAAGGACAGCTGGAGCTTCACTGTCAGGCTCAAAAACAAAACCAATCAAGGGAAAAAAAAAATGGTGCTCAGGATACAATGTATCTACTGAGAAGCATTGTTGTTTGCTGATTAAATATAGTTGTCTCTTGTGATCTGGGGGATTGCTACCTGATGGGAGATGTCATTTTGTAATTTTTTTTTATTGGTTAATGAATAAAACACTGTTGGCCAATAGGAAAGCAAGATAGGCAGAACTAGAAGACAAAGAGGATTCGAGGAGGAGGCACAAGATTGAACATGTAGAATCTAGAGAGAATAATTCCGGACCCTATCTCCAGTAAGCTTAATAAGACCACGTGGAAACATTTAGATTACTAGAAATGTGTTAATATTTGAGACAGCTAGCCAATAAGAAATGCTAGTAACAGGCCAACAGCTTTATATCTAATAAAGTGTTTCTGTGTTATTTGGGGCTGGTATGGCTGTAGGACCAGGCTGGGTGGAAAACATAATAGTAACAAAATGGCACCTTCAACATGGTTACTAAGAATTTCCACTTAAAACTTAACAAAAGGGTTTTAGAAACAAAAAACAAAAACAAGGTTTCCTGGTAGCATCAGTTCTCCTCAGTTAGGCTCTATTTTGCTAGTGACAAGCAGAGATTTGCGCAGCCCCTTTAATGGAGGTTTTCTGACTCAGCATAGTGCTAACAATTCAATGGTTAAAGACAAATAGTTATAGTTTTCCTTGGTTAAAATTAAAGATAAGTTACGTATAGAACTTTAGACTCAAAAAGATAGGATAGATGATAAAATATTTACTTTAAATCTTGCTGTTAATGGACTAAACATTGTTAACTATGATTCTTATTTGATAACTGTTTTGTTATATATTTTGCTCTGTTAAGATTAAGGCCCTTCTTTTTATTTAGACAGAGAAGAGGAGATGATGGGAGATGTCATTCTGTAAATATGTTTCTCTTGTTGGTTAATGAATAAAACACTGTTGGCCAATAGGAAAGCAAGATAGGCAGAACTAGAAGACAAGGAGGATTCGAGGAGGAAGTAGGAGAAGATTCAACATGTAGGACCGAGAGAGCAGAACTCTGGACCCTCTCTCTGGTAAGATAAGACCATGTGGGAACACTTAGATTAATAGAAATGGGTTAATATTTAAGACAGAGCTACCCAATAAGAAATGCTAGTAACAGACCAACAGCTTTATATCTAATAAAGTGTCTCTGTGTGTTATTTGGGGCTGGCATGGCTGTGGGACCAGGCTGGGCAGAAAACATATTCGTAACAGTTACCACTACCCTGGTGGTTGCTAAAATCTCTGAGTGCTCAAGACCCTTATGTAAAATGGTGTAACATTTGCATATACTCAGTACCAGTTCCTATATGATTCAACCAGCTCCAGATTAATTATGATATACAATGAAATCTACTTATGTAAATATATGTGTGAAGGCATGCTTGCACACACACACAATTTTTAAAAAGTTGGAACTGGAGAGTTGGCTCCATGATTAAGGGCAGAGGACCTAAGTATGGCACCCACATCTTGAGGCTCCCAGTGGCCTGTAACTCATTCCAGAGGCTCTCACACCCTCATGATTGGTTTCTTCAGCTACTGCACTCATGTGCACAAATCTAAACAAACAGAAATTAATTCTTACATTTTTAAAGAAAGGAAGTCGTGGATGGACATGATTTGTAGGTTGTCTCCTGATTTTCCCTTTGCTCAGTTTCCATTCTTAGACTTCTGTCTCCTCCACGACATTCAGTGAACAAAGTGGAGGTTAGAACAGGAGTGACTGAGAGGTCCCACAGAAAGGCGTAGATTGGGTTACACAGGACAGCCTTTTATCTCTGTTATTTCTCCCCCAGCATGGTTCTTTTGAAGGCGGGGGTGACTTCAGTCCATTATTTGCATAGTCTTCCACTTCGGAAAGTTCATGAACAGATTATGTCCTCACATGGTACACTTCTCTACTTTGGGAATTTTCTTTCTTCGATTTGCAAACCAAAAGACCCAACAAAACCATCAAAGCAAAGCATATGAGAAGCAAAACAAGCAGTGATTTCATTTAGTTAATGTCAAAACATAGCCGAGCTCCCATGTCCCTGGAGTCAACAATGTCCTGTTAGGTCACAGGTACTGCACTGACCCTGGGCAGCCTGCAACCAGGGCTTGTAAGCACAGGGCAAGCAACAGCTCCCTCCACACCCCCTGGTGTGGTGTGTAGCCCAGGCTAGCCTCTTGATGCCACTCTCTCGGGGTCAGCTTGCGCAAGTGGACCACCACACCCTGCTACAGCTGACCTCTTCTGCGTAGTTATTTCAAGCTAAAAATAAATTGACAGAGACTCCTGTAACTTACGAATAGGCCAAAAAAAAAAAAAAAAAAATGAATGAGGAAGGAGGGAAAGATAGAAAAGAGGGATGGAGGCTGGTAGGAAAACACCAGCTTTGTCTGAATTATGCAAAGAGAAAACACTAGTATAATAAATAGTGTTTTAAAAAGTTCGCCCACACGAGAGAGTGGGGGGGGGAGAGGTTGATGTTTGTTTCCTCTAGTCAATTGCTATCTTATATTTTTGAGACAGGATCTGTTAGTGAGCCTGCAGCCCCAGTGAATCCTCCAGTCTCCATCCCCCTAGCTCTGGGATTACAGGTTTCTGACACCCTGCCTATCTTTTTGTGTGAGTGCCCTGGGGATCCGAACTCACTTATTCATGTTTGCACAGCTTTTTATGAACCTAACCATCTGCCTTTAATGCTGACAGAGAAAAGTTCGAGCAGGACATCATCTCTCAAACACTAGAGTAGCACGCGACAGTTTGCTGCTTCAGGGAGACCAGCCCAGGCGTCCACTGTCCGGCTGCAGCCAGAACCTTTGCAAAGTTCAAGGCGCGCACTGGCTGCGTGCAGGGAGAGCTCGCACGCGCTTAACCATCTCCCAAGTTCTAAGAGGTTGTTAGGGAAGTGGCGGTGTGGCCTCAGAGGAAGAAATCCAAGCCGAGCCCCCTGCCTAGGTCCCCCAGGAGAACAGATGGTGCTGTCCTGGGCTCTTTGCCGGAGGGAGGCCCCAGGGGTCTGGGTTGGGACTGTCCAACGCTCCCTGCACTTCCGGAGGGCCTAGGGGCGCCTGGCTTGGAAGGTGAGAGGTGGAACTGCTGGCGGCTGGGAAGGGACCAAAGGAATAAGTGATTGGAAATTCTGTAACCGAGAACTCTGTGCCTAACCCTTTGGCTCTTCCCCCCCAACCCCCTGCGGAGAGTCGAAAGGCCGAGAGGCGATGCAGGGAAGAGTCACGTTTCTGAGAGGGAAGTGAAATAAAGAGGGCGGCACCGGGGGGACCTGTGCGTCATTGAGGGACCGCGGAGCGGCCAGTGCGGAGGCGTGGGGGCTAGGAGCCGGAGGGGCAGCCGAACCCCTGAGCCTGCTGCCCGTCCCGCTGCCCCGCAGCCTGTAAACTAGTAGGGCACAAGATGTGGCAGGCGACCCCGCCCCGACCCCGCGTGTCCTGTCGCTGGGCGCCGGCCCTGCTGACCCTGCTGGCCCTGGGCGGTGTGGGGCTGTGCCACTCGAGCTCGCAACCTGGGTACCACGCGCGGCCCAGCGCCAGGAACAAGTAAGTGCGTGCCCCTTCTGATCGCCTCCAGCTCCGGAGTCCCGCGCCCTGCGGGTCCCTTCGGAATCTGCCTACCGTCTTTGGAACTGCCCTGCCAATGGCGACCGGCTGCAGGAGAGAAATCTCTATGGATTTGGGGGCATCACCATCCCGGGATGACCATGTGCTCCCCACCAGGAGCCTGGAGCATCCTGAAGCGGACCCGGGCAGTGGGGTAGTGCCCTGCTGAACACGTCCTGGAGTCGGCAGGGTGTGGGGGCTCTATTTTGATATTCGGAAGACGCTGGAGGCATCCTGGGGTGGCGGCTTTGGCAGGCTCCTGCCTTCTGAGCGGGTGACCCTCAACTTGCTGGGTCAGCTCCTCCGTCCATCTGTCTGTCCCTCTGTCCGTCGCCCCCCACCCCTGTGCCTCATTGTTCTACAAGTTTACCCAGCTCTTCTCTCTCAACCCCCAGGAACTGGTGCGCCTACATTGTGAATAAGAACGTGACCTGCACAGTGCAGGAAGGAAGCGAGAGTTTTATACAGACTCAGTACAACTGTCCCTGGAACCAGATGCCCTGTCCATCCGCTCTGGCGTAAGTCCTGGGGCGCGGGCCGAAGGGGTGGGTGAGTTGGGGAGCTGGGCTCCAGCCTTATGGAAAGTTCTTCCAGACCCTCTACAAATCCTTAAAAGTCTGAGAGCTGTGCAGGCTAGTGGCCACGCTGGGCCATTTTAGAGTGTGCAATTCTGTGTGAACCTTGAAGATGCGCAAAATTTGGGAGTTTGTGATTCTCTAGGTCACAGGGGAGGATGAACAAAGCCCCCACCTCTCTCTCTCTCTCTCTCTCTCTCTCTCTCTCTCTCTCTCTCTCTGTAATGTAAGGCAGCTGAAACTAATTAGATCCATATTGTATGTTCTGGGGCACATGATGGAGCCTAACATATTTTAGATGAAGGATTAGTGGAAAGGTTTCAACTGGTTGGGTGTTCTGACTTAGGTGAGTTTTGCCCCAACCATCCTCTTAAGCATCATAGTTTTCTAAACTAAACTCCTCTCCCTCAGGCTACTTTGGATGGCCCCTTTTCTTCTCCAATTAGATTTGTGGATTCTCAGAACAGAAGTCAAGAGGGAGAGTCAACCATGTCTTTGCTTATAAAGATTCCCTGCATTAAAAAAAGAAAGGAAGGAAGGAAGAAAGAAATAACAGAGGGGAAATGATTTATTAGTGTGCCGATTCTGCAAACACATTTGTAAGCATCCAACTGTGATTAGAAAGGTCCTTAAGTTTTTTGTGGAAAGGTCTTTGAGGTTTTGAGAATAAAGGGCTGTTGGGGACACGTGATGGCAGGGATTGTTTCCAGTAAGAATAAGTTGTTTGTCTCAATGCACATTGTCAGGGCTTCACAGAATGGACAGTGGCCGGCAGCTCTGCCTCTGGACAGGCTGAGCTTGTATTCCAGCAAGCTGCTTCAGGGGGCAGGGGATGGACTAGACTAAAGACACATAGGGAGGAGGTGGTCACTGGGGGAACCTCAGGGACAGAGAGCTCCTGGGAGGCAAAAGGAAAGCTGTACAAATTCGAGGAAACACCGGGAGGGCTCTTTAGAGAGATTCAGAGTCCCTGGTTATCACAGAGACCCAGAACTACCTTAAATCAATCCACATTTAGATTTAGACCTCACAGCTTATGGCCAGCTGCTGGTGACAAAGAGGACCAAATGAGGTTTTTACTGGTGACCAAAACACAAGCCGAATATTCAACACAATTTGGAAGAATTTGCTTGCAATTGGAATTGAATTGTCAGCCCAGGACAATTTCATTAATTTTTATGTTGTGTTTTTTCTATAATGTTAATTCTTACTCAATGGGTAAAGAATACTTGCTATGCAAGCTTAAGGAGCTAAGCTTGAATCCCCAGCATCCAAGTAAAAAGCTGGGGATGGTGACTGCCAGCCAGATAAGCCCAATGCTGTGGAGGGTTGGAGGCAGTAGGATGGCTACTTCAGCCACCAGCTTAGCTCCAGGTTCAGTGAGAGACCTTGTCTAAAGAGAGTAGGATGGGTAGGATGGAGATTGGTGGTCAAATATCTGACAGCTCTGCCTCCACAAACACCTGCGTCTTCACACACCTGCACACACTGAGGAAGACACCTGCACACACACCTGCACACACACACACACACACACACACACATACATATGTAGAAATTTGCATTTCTGGAGGTAGGTTTTTTTTTTTGTTTGTTTGTTTTTTTTAGACAAGGTCTTACTATGTAACCCTGGCTGGCCTCAAACTCAGATACCTTCCTGTCTCTGCTTGCTGAGCTGCTGAGACTAAAGTCATGTGCCACCATACCATACCCGGTGGTAATTGGTTTTGTTTGTTTTTTTAAATTGGCTTTTTGAAGCAAGGTTTGCTACATTGTTATACAGAAAGTCACTGTGTAGCCTAGGCTGACCTTGAACTCAAGTTTATACTGCCTTGGCTTTTAGAGTGCTAGAAATACAGACATGAGGCACTGCCCCCAGCTTTTGCTTTTGGGGCTTGGTATGTAGTACAGTTGGTAGAGTACTTGCTTGGCGTGCACACACCTTTGGGCTCATTCCCTTCACTGCAAACACCAGTGTTGGGACACTCCTACACTCCTCAGATCTGGAACTTCTGATAGTGTGGTCCTAGGCTGGCTTTGGGAATACAGTTTTGGAGATAGGAGAATCTGAGTGACATGGAATTCTTCCTGTAGGGTATAGGGCAGTTGAAGTTTCTGGAGCTGAGGTTGACTCACAGACTCTGTATTTTCTATTTTTGTAGCAATCCCCAGGAGTCATTAGAAAGTAGAGAGCCTCCATCCAAGCCCAGGTCTTTCCTTTCACAGCCTTGGCCTCCTTCCCCCAACCCCCCATCCCCATGTGTGCGTGTGTGCATATGTGTGTGTGTGTGTGTTGTTGTTGTTGTTGTTATTGTTGTTGGCCCTTCTGGTAGGTAGGAGTGGAGAAGGAAGGGCCTGCTGTATTACAATCCCTTCCGCTTATGCTCATGTTTGATTGGTTGCTGGGAGAAAATTACTTCTCTCTGGATGAGTCTAGACATCCCATCTTTTTCATGCTTCATGGCAGTAGTTCTGGATAGCTCCAGAACCTCCCGCTGGACCAACAGCTGTTAGCATTTGTGGCATTTGGAGGCGTCCTGTCCATGGAGCAACTCCGGTGTTGGCCAGGATGTTCAGGGAGCCCAGATGCAAGCAGCATGAATTTTCTTTGCCTCCCAACCCAGGGCTCAGGCTTTCAGGAATGGGGGGAGGGGGTGTTCTGCTTTCCCACACCGTCAAGAGACTGGGGTCATCAGCACCCACGCTTGCCCTTGCCCTTCTGGCCAGCCTTGTTTGTATCCCTTTCTTAGAATTTTTCCCCTTTTGTTTGCTTGCCCTTTGTACTTAAAGTATTATTCACATAATGTAACAGTTGCCACAGGAATGTTCCCATCCATGTGTTATATATAGCAAATGAAAACAACTGTGGAGTTGCCACTGTAACTAAAAGATGAAACTGTTCCTGTGTCCATCACCTGGCCCAACACCTGCTAATGAGTTTTTCTCTTGTCTCCTATTGCCTATCCAGAAGAGGACATAAATGGGACCCTTTGACATTAGTTTCTTTCTTTTGCTTAGCATGAGCCGTGTGTGTGTGTGTGTGTGTGTGTGTGTGTGTGTGTGTGTGTGTGTTTTGAGACAGGATAGCCCTGAACTCTGTCTCCTCCCCAGCTTCCTCTGTGGTGGGGCAATGGGTGTGCACCATCATGCCTAGCTCACTTATTTATGTTTGAGATGAAGTGTCTCACTGTGTTACCCAGGCGGAAAGCTTAGGTTAATCCATCTGCTGCCTCCTTAGCCTATGGCATAGCTGGGTTTACAGGCATAGCAGTACACCTGGCTTATTGAGACATTTGAGGTTCATATCTGTCATTTGTAGATGTTGCCTTACTCCACCTATTAGAGATTTGCCTACTGTTTTCTGCAATGGCTGGGAGGGTAGACATCTATGGTGATTTGAGACAGTGTTCACCTGCACTGTTAGGAAAAGCAATGCTCTTGTCATTGAAATTGTATGGCTGCTGATAGGCTCCATGAGTCCTAGACCATTTGGGGACTATCATCTGTGTTGCTTCTGTTGGAGTTGTTGTAAATGAAACCTCAAAGACAGGTTCCCTTGGAAACTGTCTCATTGCATCTCTCTGGGTTTATGATCTAGTTTTTCTGCTTAATTGTGGTTTGGACATTCAAACTTTGGCTTTTGAGATAGTGCATAGCTCTGATGGCTTTTATATTGGTGTTACAAACCAAATGGAACCTATTGTCCAGTCACATCTGTCCTGGGGGAAGATTGTGACAGACAGCATGCCTCTGTACTCAGAGTCCGGAGCCTGGGTCTTGGTAGCCAATACAGCACATAGAAATACTAGAGTCAAGCCGGGCATGGTGGTGCATTTGGAGGGTGGAGGCAAGAGGTTCAGAAGTTCAAGACTATCCATGGGTATTTGAGACCAGGTTGAGCTATATGAGACCCCACATGAAAAATATAAGAACAGTCTGGACAAGTGGCCTCAAGCAGTGGCAAGCACATATTGCTGTTGCAGAGGAACATGGTTTAGCTGTCAGCCTGTGTTGGGTGCTCACAAGCATCCGAAACTTGTGTTCTAGGGCCTCTGTCACTTTCTGACGTCCAAGGTCAGACAAAAAGCAAGACTGACCTCTAATATCACAGCTTCATCGCTGAGATCTCTGGTCTCCATGCTGCCCACTCCTGAGCCCCCTATGTGAGGTCTCACAAGACCTCAGCCTATGGGTCATACTAGGGAGGACCAAGGGAGACAAGCAGATGGCAGCAGGGATCTAAGACAGCAGTTCTCACCCTCCCAAATGCTTTGGCCCTTTAGTATGGTTCCTCCTGTTGTGGTGACCCCCCCCCCACCATAAATTTACTTTTATTACTATTGCGTAACTGTGATGAATCGTGATGTAAATATCTGCATTTCCCAGTGTTCTTAGGCGATCCCTGTGTCGGAGTGAGAACTATCAGTCTAAGAGCTCTGATTCCAGGGCACAGTCTGGGCCAGTGGTCCTCTGCCCAGCTTGCTGGCTCATCTGGCTTCAAAGGAAGAAACACTGACACACTGTACCTTCCCATTGTACCTACCAGCAACTGTTTCCCAGCAAGGGAAATTAAGGCAGACCCTGGTTTATCCCTGGCTAGAGTGTAGGTTTCTCAGTGACTATAGCTAGGTGCCTAACTCACTGTTATTGAGGGGTCAAGTCACTGGGGGCTGCTCTACCAAACTCCCCAAGGGCAACAGTGCCTGCTTCCCCAGAGGCTTACACCTCAAAACTGGAAGCAGTGTCTGCCTTTATGTTGCAGAGCCATAGAGGAGTGAGGGTTTCCAGCTACCTGGCTTTGTTGGATGCTTGAGTGAGGCTCAAGTCAGGAAAGAGTCAGCTGAAGGTAGGTCCTGGGTCACAGCCCTTTCTATTAAGGAAGTGATTACAATCTTTTCACCTGCATGCTCTGCTGTTAGTTTCTGGTTCCAGCATTCGGGAGG